CGTCCACTGGCCAACACTGGTGACGATTGTACGAGCCAGTCCCGGGCCTCCCCCTAGGTCGACTCGGCCGGGAATTGGCGCCTGGTGGCGGAGCGTATAAAACAATCGGCACTTGGGGAGACAAAGGCGGCCGAGCCGCTGTGATGTTGACCACAACACCACCCTCGTCACTTGCTACAGCAACCACCGCCATGATCATCACCACCATCAGTGCATGGACACGAAGATTAGACGGAGGAAGGGTGGCAGGTCACTCACTACCACAGAGTGAGTTGCAGGTCACTCACTCACCACCACAGAGTGAGTTGCAGGTCACTCACTACCACAGAGTGAGTTGCAGGTCACTCACTACCAGAGTGAGTTGTAGGTCACTCACTACCACAGAGTGAGTTGCAGGTCACTCACTACCACTCACTACCACCACTACCACCACTACCACGGAGTGAGTTGTAGGTCACTCACTACCACAGAGTAAGTTGCAGGTCACTCACTACTACAGAGTGAGTTGTAGGTCACTCACTACCACAGAGTGAGTTGCAGGTCACTCACTACCACTCACTACCACCACTACCACCACTACCACGGAGTGAGTTGTAGGTCACTCACTACCACAGAGTGAGTTGCAGGTCACTCACTACCACAGAGTGAGTTGCAGGTCACTCACTACCACAGAGTGAGTTGCAGGTCACTCACTACCACAGAGTGAGTTACAGGTCACTCACTACCACAGAGTGAGTTGCAGGTCACTCACTACCACAGAGAGAGTTGCAGGTCACTCACTACCACAGAGTGAGTTACAGGTCACTCACTACCACAGAGTGAGTTGTAGGTCACTCACTACCACCACAGAGTGAGTTGCAGGTCACTCACTACCACAGAGTGAGTTGCAGGTCACTCACTACCACAGAGTGAGTTGCAGGTCACTCACTACCACCACAGAGTGAGTTGCAGGTCACTCACTACCACAGAGAGAGTTGCAGGTCACTCACTACCACAGAGAGAGTTGCAGGTCACTCACTACCACAGAGTGAGTTGCAGGTCACTCACTACCACAGAGTGAGTTGCAGGTCACTCACTACCACAGAGACAGTTGCAGGTCACTCACTACCACAGAGTGAGTGGCAGGTCACTCACTACCACGGAGTGAGTTGCAGGTCACTCACCACCACAGAGTGAGTTGTAGGTCACTCACTACCACAGAGTGAGTTGCAGGTCACTCACCACCACAGAGTGAGTTGCAGGTCACTCACTACCACAGAGTGAGTTGCAGGTCACTCACTACCACAGAGTGAGTTGCAGGTCACTCACTACCACAGAGTGAGTTGCAGGTCACTCACTACCACCACTACCACTACCACAGAGTGAGTTGCATGTCACTCACTACCACCACCACAGAGTGAGTTGCAGGTCACTCACTACCACCACAGAGTGAGTTGCAGGTCACTCACTACGAACACTACCACAGAGTGAGTTGCAGGTCACTCACTACCACCACCACCACCACCACAGAGTGAGTTGCAGGTCACTCACTACCACCACCACCACAGAGAGAGTTGCAGGTCACTCACTACCACAGAGTGAGTTGCAGGTCACTCACTACCACCACTACCACAGAGTGAGTTGCAGGTCACTCACTACCACCACCACAGAGTGAGTTGCAGGTCACTCACTACCACCACAGAGTGAGTTGCAGGTCACTCACTACCACCACCACTACAGTGAGAGTTGCAGGTCACTCACTACCACTCACTACCACTCACTACAACTCACTACAACTCACTACCACCACTCACTACAACCCACTACCACCATTACCACCACCACCACCACTACAACTCACTACCACTCACTACCACCACTACCACTCACCACTATCACTCACCACTACCACTCACCACCACTCACTACCACTCACTACCACTCACTACCACTACCACTCACTACCACTACCACTCACTACCACTCACTACCACTCACTACCACCACTCACTACCACCACCACTACCACCACCACTACCACTCACTACCACCACCACTCACTACCACCACCACTATCACCCACTACCACCACCACTACCACTCACTACCACCACTACCACCACCACCACTACTACAACTCACCACCACTCACTACCACTCACTACCACCACTCACTACCACTCACCACTACCACCACTCACTACCACCACCACCACTCACTACAACTCAAAACTCACCACCACTCACTACAACTCACTACCACTCACTACCACTCACTACCACCACTACCACTCACTGCCACCACTACCACCACCACTACCACCACTCACTACCACCACCACCACTCACTACCACCACCACTCACTACCACTCACTACCACCACTCACTACCACCACTACCACTCACTACCACTCACTACCACCACCACTACCACCATCACCACTACCACCACTACCACCACTCACTACCACCACCACCACTCACCACCACCGCCACTATCACTCACCACCACCGCCACCACCACTACCACCACCACCACTCACTACCACCACTCACCACCACTACCACCACCACTACCACTCACTACCACCACTACCACCACCACTACCACCACTCACTACCACCACTACTACCACTCACTACCACCACTCACTACCACTCACTACCACCACCACTACCACTCACTACCACCACCACCACTACCACTCACTACCACCACTCACCACCACTCACTACCACCACTCACTACAACTCACTACAACTCACCACCACTCACCACCACTCACTACAACTCACCACCACTCACCACCACTCACTACCACCACTCACTACCACCACCACTCACTACCACCACTACCACCACCACTCACTACCACCACTACCACTCACTACAACTCACTACCACCACCACCGCCACCACCGCCACCACCGCCACCACTACCACTCACTACCACCACTACCACCACTACCACCACTCACTACCACTCACTACCACCACCACTACCACCACTCACTACCACTACCACTCACTACCACTCACTACCACTCACTACCACCACCACTACCACTCACTACCACTCACTACCACTACTACCACTCACTACCACCACCACTCACTACCACCACCACCGCCACTCACTACCACCACCACTACCACTCACTACCACCACCACTACCACCACTCACTACCACCACCACTACCACCACTCACTACCACCACCACTACCACTCACTACCACCACCACTACCACTCACTACCACCACCACTACCACCACTCACTACCACCACCACCACTCACTACCACCACCACCACTCACTACCACCACCACTACCACTCACTACCACCACCACTACCACTCACTACCACCACCACCACTCACTACCACTCACTACCACTCACTACCACCACCACCACCACCACTCACTCACTACCACCACCACTACCACTCACTACCACCACCACTACCACCACCACTCACTACCACCACCACTACCACCACTCACTACCACTCACTACCACCACCACCGCCACCACTACCACTCACTACCACTCACGACCACCACCACTCACTACCACCACTACCACCACCACTCACTACCACCTCTACCACTCACTACCACCACTACCACCACCACTCACTACCACCACTACCACCACCACTCACTACCACCACTACCACCACCACTCACTACCACCTCTACCACTCACTACAACTCACTACCACCACTACCACTCACTACCACCACCACAACTCACTACCACCACTCACTACCACCACCACTACCACTCACTACCACCACCACCACCACCACTCACTACCACCACCACTCACTACCACCACCACTACCACTCACTACCACCACCACCACCACTCACTACCACCACCACTACCACTCACGACCACCACCACTACCACTCACGACCACCATCACCACTACCACCACTACCACCACCACTACCACCACTACCACCACCACCACTACCACTCACTACCACCACTACCACCACTCACTACCACTCACTACCACCACCACTCACTACCACTCACTACCACCACCACCACCACTCACTACCACCACCACCACTACCACTCACTACCACTACCACCACTCACTACCACTCACTACCACCACCACCACTCACTACCACCACCACTCACTACAACTCACTACCACTCACTACAACCACCACCACTCACTACCACTACCACCACTCACTACCACCACCACTACAACTCACTACAACTCACTACCACCACTCACTACAACTCACTACCACCACTCACTACAACTCACTACCACTCACTACCACCACTACCACCACCACTCACTACCACTACCACCACCACCACCACCGCCACCACTCACTACCACTCACTACCACCACCACCACCACTCACTACCACCACCACTACCACTCACTACCACTACCACCACTCACTACCACTCACTACCACCACCACCACTCACTACCACCACCACTCACTACAACTCACTACCACTCACTACCACTACCACCACTCACTACCACTCACTACCACTACCACCACTCACTACCACTCACTACCACCACTCACTACCACTCACTACCACCACCACCACTCACTACCACCACCACTCACTACAACTCACTACCACTCACTACCACCACTCACTACCACCACCACTACCACCACCACTACAACTCACTACCACCACTCACTACCACCACCACTACAACTCACTACAACTCACTACTACAACTCACTACAACTCACTACTACAACTCACTACTACCACTCACTACTACCACTCACTACTACCACTCACTACTACCACTCACTACTACCACTCACTACCACTAATACCACCACTCACTACCACCACCACTCACTACCACTACCACCACTCACTACCACCACCACCACTACCACCGCCACCACTCACTACCACCACTACCACCACCACTACCACCACCACTACCACCACTACCACCACCACCACTACCACCACCACTACCACCACCACCACCACCCGCACCTCGAGGCTGTCGTCGGCGTTCACCATCCAGCAGTCTGTCCACGTGGCCACGACGAGGAAGGAGGCCGAGACTCACCACAACAACTCACTACTACCACTCACTACTACCACTCACTACTACTCACCACCACTCACTACTACAACTCACTACTACCACTACTACAACTCACTACAACTCACTACCACTCACTACTACAACTCACTACCACCACTCACTACTACCACTCACTACTACCACTCACTACTACAACTCACTACAACTCACTACTACCACTCACCACCACTCACTACTACAACTCACTACAACTCACTACTACCACTCACTACAACTCACTACTACCACTCACTACCACTCACTACTACCACTCACTACTACCACTCACTACTACCACTCACTACTACCACTCACTACTACAACTCACTACCACTCACTACCACCACTCACTACTACAACTCACTACCACTCACTACCACAACTCACTACAACTCACTACTACTCACTACTACAACTCACTACTACCACTCACTACAACTCACTATTACAACTCACTACTACAACTCACTACCACCACTCACTACCACTCACTACCACCACTCACTACCACTCACTACCACCACCACCACTCACTACCACCACCACTCACTACAACTCACTACCACTCACTACCACCACTCACTACCACCACCACTACCACCACCACTACAACTCACTACCACCACTCACTACCACCACCACTACAACTCACTACAACTCACTACTACAACTCACTACAACTCACTACTACAACTCACTACTACCACTCACTACTACCACTCACTACTACCACTCACTACTACCACTCACTACTACCACTCACTACCACTAATACCACCACTCACTACCACCACCACTCACTACCACTACCACCACTCACTACCACCACCACCACTACCACCGCCACCACTCACTACCACCACTACCACCACCACTACCACCACTACCACCACCACCACCACCCGCACCTCGAGGCTGTCGTCGGCGTTCACCATCCAGCAGTCTGTCCACGTGGCCACGACGAGGAAGGAGGCCGAGACTCACCACCACTCACTACCACCACCACCATTACCACTCACTACCACCATCACCACCACTCACTACTACCACCACCATTACCACTCACTACCACTCACTACTACAACTCACTACTACTCACTACTACTACTCACTACTACAACTCACTACTACTACTCACTACAACTCACTACTACCACTCACTACAACCACTCACCACCACTCACTACCACCACCACCACTACCACCACCACTACCACTCACTACCACCACCACTACCACTCACTACAACCACTCACCACCACTCACTACCACCACCACCACTACCACCACCACTACCACTCACTACCACCACCACTACCACTCACTACTACCACTCACCACCACTCACTACCACCACTACCACCACTACCACCACCACTACCACCACTCACTACCACCACCATCACCACCACTCACTACCACCACTACCACCACTCACTACCACCATCACCACCACTCACTACCACCACTCACTACCACCACTACCACCACTCACTACCACCATCACCACCACTCACTACCACCACTACCACCACTCACTACCACCACCACCACTACCACCACCACTACCACCACCACCGCCACCCGCACCTCGAGGCTGTCGTCGGCGTTCACCATCCAGCAGTCTGTCCACGTGGCCACGACGAGGAAGGAGGCCGAGACTCACCACAACAACTCACTACTACCACTCACTACTACCACTCACTACTACTCACCACCACTCACTACTACAACTCACTACTACCACTACTACAACTCACTACCACTCACTACCACTCACTACTACCACTACCACCACCACTACCACCACCACTCACCACCACCACCACTCACTACCACCACTACCACCACTCACTACCCCCACTCACTACCACCACCACTACCACCACCGCCACCACTCACTACCACCACTCACTACCACCACTACCACCACTTACTACCACCACCACCACTACCACCACCACTACCACCACCGCCACCACCCGCACCTCGAGGCTGTCGTCGGCGTTCACCATCCAGCAGTCTGTCCACGTGGCCACGACGAGGAAGGAGGCCGAGACGAGCGCGAAGAAGAAGGCGAGGAGCTGAAGTGCAGTGATCATGGCGGAGCTGGTCAAGGTGGTGGTGGTGTGGTGGTGGTGTGTGTGGTGTGGTGTGTGTGGTGGTGGTGTGGTGGTGGTGTGTGGTGTGTGTGTGTGTGGTGGTGGTGTGTGTGGTGTGTGTGTGGTGTGTGTGGTGGTGTGTGTGGTGTGGTGGTGGGTGGTGTGTGTGGGGTGGTGTGTGGTGTGTGGGGTGTGGTGTGGGGTGTGTGTGTGGTGTGTGTGGGGTGTGTGGTGGTGGTGGTGTGTGTGGTGTGTGTGGTGTGTGTGTGTGGTGGTGGTGTGTGTGTGGTGTGGTGTGTGTGGTGGTGGTGTGGTGTGGTGTGTGTGTGGTGGTGTGTGTGTGGTGTGGTGTGTGTGGTGGTGGTGTGGTGGTGGTGAGTGGTAGTGAGTGGTAGTGGTGGTGGTGAGTGGTAGTGGTGGTGAGTGGTAGTGGTGGTGGTGAGTGGTAGTGAGTGGTAGTGAGTGGTGGTAGTGGTGGTGAGTGGTAGTGGTGGTGAGTGGTAGTGGTGGTGGTGAGTGGTGGTGGTGAGTGGTGGTGGTGTGTGTGGTGGTGTGGTGTGTGTGTGTGGTGGTGTGGTGTGTGTGGTGGTGGTGTAGTGGTGGTGAGTAGTAGTGGTGGTGAGTGGTAGTAGTGGTGGTGAGTGGTAGTGGTGGTGGCAGTGGTGGTGGTGAGTGGTAGTGAGTGGTAGTGAGTGGTGGTAGTGGTGGTGGTGAGTGGTGGTGGTGAGTGGTGGTGGTGAGTGGTGGTGGTGTGGTGGTGGTGTGGTGGTGTGTGTGGTGGGGTGGTGGTGGTGTGTGGTGTGGTGGTGGTGGTGTGTGTGGGGTGGTGTGTGTGGTGTGGTGGTGGTGTGTGTGGTGTGTGGTGGTGTGGTGGTGGTGTGGTGGTGGTGTGTGGTAGTGGTATTAGTGGTGTGTGGTGGTGGTATTAGTGGTGTGTGTGGTGGTAGTAGTGGTGTGTGTGTGGTGGTATTAGTGGTGTGGTGGTGGTGGTATTAGTGGTGTGTGTGTGGTGGTATTAGTGGTGTGGTGGTGGTATTAGTGATGTGTGTGGTGGTATTAGTGATGTGTGTGGTGGTATTAGTGGTGTGTGTGGTGTGTGGTATTAGTGGTGTGGTGGTGGTATTAGTGGTGTGGTGGTATTAGTGGTGTGGTGGTGGTACTAGTGGTGTGTGTGTGTGGTGGTGGTATTAGTGGTGTGGTGGTGGTATTAGTGGTGTGGTGGTGGTATTAGTGGTGTGGTGGTGGTACTAGTGGTGTGTGTGTGTGGTCGTGGTATTAGTGGTGTGGTGGTATTAGTGGTGTGGTGGTGGTATTAGTGGTGTGGTGGTATTAGTGGTGGTGGTGGTATTCGTGGTGTGTGTGGTGGTATTAGTGGTGTGGTGGTATTAGTGGTGTGGTGGTATTAGTGGTGTGGTGGTGGTATTAGTGGTGTGTGTGGTGTGTGTGGTGGTATTCGTGGTGTGTTGGTGGTATTAGTGGTGGTGTGGTGGTGGTATTAGTGGTGTGTGTGGTGGTGGTATTCGTGGTGTGTGTGTGGTGTGGTGGTGGTATTAGTGGTGTGTGTGGTGGTGGTATTCGTGGTGTGTGTGTGGTGTGGTGGTGGTATTAGTGGTGTGTGGTGGTATTAGTGATGTGGTGGTGGTATTAGTATTAGTGGTGTGGTGATGGTATTAGTGGTGTGGTGGTGTGTGTGGTGGTATTAGTGGTGTGGTGGTATTAGTGGTGTGGTGGTGGTGGTGGTATTAGTGGTGTGTGTGGTGGTGGTATTAGTGGTGTGGTGGTGTGTGTGGTGGTATTAGTGGTGTGGTGGTATTAGTGGTGTGGTGGTGGTGGTGGTATTAGTGGTGTGTGTGGTGGTGGTATTAGTGGTGTGGTGGTGGTATTAGTGATGTGTGGTGGTGGTATTAGTGATGTGTGGTGGTGGTGGTATTAGTGGTGTGTGTGGTGGTGGTATTAGTGGTGTGGTGGTGGTATTAGTGATGTGTGGTGGTGGTATTAGTGATGTGTGGTGGTGGTGGTATTAGTGGTGTGTGTGGTGGTGGTATTAGTGGTGTGGTGGTGGTATTAGTGATGTGTGGTGGTGGTATTAGTGATGTGTGGTGGTGGTGGTATTAGTGGTGTGTGTGGTGGTGGTATTAGTGGTGTGGTGGTGGTATTAGTGATGTGTGGTGGTATTAGTATTAGTGGTGTGTGTGTGGTGTGGTGGTGGTGGTATTAGTGGTGTGTGTGGTGGTATTAGTGGTGTGTGTGGTGGTGGTGGTATTAGTGGTGTGTGTGGTGGTAGTAGTGGTGTGTGTTGGTGGTATTAGTGGTGATGGTGGTGGTGGTATTAGTGGTGTGTGTGTGGTGGTGGTATTAGTGGTGTGGTGGTGTGTGTGGTGGTATTAGTGGTGTGTGGTGGTGGTATTAGTGGTGTGTGTGTGGTGGTATTAGTGGTGTGTGTGGTGGTGGTGGTATTAGTGGTGTGTGTGGTGGTGATATTAGTGGTGTGGTGGTGGTATTAGTGGTGTGTGTGGTGGTGGTATTAGTGGTGTGTGTGTGGTGGTATTAGTGGTGTGTGGTGGTGGTATTAGTGGTGTGTGTGTGGTGGTATTAGTGGTGTGTGTGTGGTGGTATTAGTGGTGTGTGGTGGTGGTATTAGTGGTGTGTGTGGTGGTATTAGTGGTGTGTGTGGTGGTATTAGTGATGTGTGTGGTGGTATTAGTGGTGTGTGGTGGTATTAGTGGTGTGGTCGTGGTATTAGTGATGTGGTGGTGGTATTAGTATTAGTGGTGATGGTGGTGGTGGTATTAGTGGTGTGTGTGGTGGTGGTGGTATTAGTGGTGTGGTGGTGTGTGTGGTGGTATTAGTGGTGTGTGGTGGTATTAGTGGTGTGTGTGTGGTGGTATTAGTGGTGTGTG